TTGTTACGGAGGTAATGGAAAGTTTCCTGCAGTTGAGAGACGTATACCGAAGGTAAACGGAGCTTTTCTGCGAAAAAGCGTACTTAAGTAACAGGACCCGGGTGATCTATAGGGTTAATACACCACACAACGTCCACTCCACCGCATGTAACTCATCAGCCTCATACAATGTTTCTGGCTCTAGCAAACCCTGATACTGCAAGCATAAAGGACAGAGCTTTTCATCAAGGAGGAGGGCTAGATGATGCACTTAAAATCTTACTCTCCAAACCTCCAGCTTTACTCATCGAATTTTATTGATCTTACGTTTGTGTTACTAGTGATTTTGATCGATTGTTTCCATTTGTAAATGGAAAGGCATGCTATGTGCTTCCTGAGTCATTGGGTCACTTTTTCTTTTATTCTTTGCGAAATTCTTCACAGGTTCCATCGGAGGACGAAGCTAGCTCGTCCGTTGTACTAGTCTGGAAATTCACTACAACCCTTGGTAATAAGGATGTTTTGTCCAGTTGTTTGCCGTTCATTTTCATCTGAATTAGGCTCAGTATGTTCCAATGGCCGCTTTGTACTTTGCGCGCACATTTTGTTTTATGGCCCACTTGGTCGGTCAAAGTATTTTGCATTTTATTGTAGTACGTAAATGAGAATTCTCGGTTTCATTGTTTTCCATCTTGAAAACCTGCCTGAGTCTTATATATTTTCTGAGGTTTTATCATTTTCAGACTTGTTTGATTCAAATATCATAACGGAAATAATATATTACTCGTGACGAGGAATTTTATAGAATTCTATTTACCGGTCTCAGTAGTTTCTTTGAATATCTGGTTTTCTTGAGAAAAACTTTCCGTCACCCTTTGCTTTTATATTCAGAGACGAAAGTACTACAATGATTTCCACTGTTCTTCAAAATCAAACGAGTTTTTTTTTGTGCGTCATTTTGCTTATATTTACTGGATGGCAATCATATCCCTTAAAAAGTAGTGGGTGAAGATTCGTGTTTGCATAAAATTCGAACACAGGATTATTCCCAAAAGCTTGGTTCTCTATCATTTTCAGTTCTGAATTCACAGTCTAAGTCACCAATGGATGGTTAGTATTGCCTCGTATCAATTCAATGAGACCTGTGCGGTTTCTTGAGAATATTGGTAACCCCGAATTGTTCTACTCGGAATACCATGAGTCTTGTTGTCCGTACTGCGGTTTAGTTTAAACAAGTTTAGCATTTGATATAGTAAAGTGATACCAGGCAACTTGACCTATTCTTAAGGACCAAGGAAAGCATCGCACTATGATTTACCAATTTCTTCTCCTCTTTTATTGTCAACATACCTAGGTTCCTGCCTGGAGGATTTGGTGATCCCCTGCTACTAGACACGGAAGCCTGTTAAGCGAAAGCTTCTTCTATTCCGTCCACAACCATTTGAACCATTTGAACCATTTGAAGCGTAATGTGACCGACACAGTTGTGAAAGTGATTTCCGAATTAAAAAGATAGGGACGTAGTACCCTTGCTAATCCAGTAACCGGATCTTGTGGATCAATGCGACCGTGCTACAAGATTGCTGAGATGCGACTGTACATTCCATAAATCTTGTAGCACGGTCGCATTGATCCACAAGATCCGGTCACTGAATTAGCAAGGGTACTACGTCCCTATCTTCTTATTATCTACTACTAAATCACCTCACCTTATCAAAACACGTTTAACAGTTGAGTGTATGCAATTCATTCTCTGTTCTATGTGATACATGGTACAGTGACTTAGTTTTTAAAACGACTCATACACGTGTTTGGAGGTTCTTCAATTCCTGGACTGCTCTATTTGCTGTCGAATGTAAATAAATGCATTCTGGCCTTCAAGCAGTTAATGTTCGAATATCACATATGAGTTCTTTTCGATTTGCTTTTTCAGGTTTTATTTTACTGACTCCAAATCTATTCTCGTAGCCCTGTGAGCATGGTAGTAAAATATATGAGCTGTGATACTGCCCGGGTGCCCAAATCGAAGCAGGTGGTTTTCTTAGAGGGCCACACCCCGAACCTTTGATCTGAAGTTCTAATCCGCATGGCAGTAGAGCGACGTAAGGAGATGCAGTCCTATAGTAGTCGGTCACCAACAATAAGTTCATACACCATTTGTTCCCTTAGGACCTTGGAGCCCATATGCACCGGTAGTTTGGAATCAGGGTTTTCTGACCCCTGTAGGTGCATCCTACTTATTCACTAACCCGGGTAAAGCGCCGGACATTCGCTTTTCGTTCTCTCAATCTCGTAAATAACACCTCGAAAAGGCAGTAAGTGGGACTTCCCTAGCATTGGTTGTATGCACGTGACCATTTCAGAGCATTTCAAGAGAGGGAGAGCTGACTCCGCACTCTCGACCGTACTAGGGCATTTGGGGTTACTTCCTTGCATTCCCACTCGTGAATCCCTACAGTTAGCTGGTCATAGACAACGTAAAATCGGATTCCTCAGGCTAATAGTGTTCTTAGGCAAGGTTGGGAGCTCCTAAACCTGAAAACTCAGTAATCCTAAATTAATTCCGTTTTATAACCTACCATCTCCAGCCCCACACGTCTTAAATGATCCGCGGGATAGTCGTAGTGGTTATGTCTCAGACGACATGGCAGCATCAGCTGCAGTGACTTAGTTGTATTTAATCTTTATCTCCCTCCAAATCCCAAGTTTCATTAATATATTCTGAAAATTAGCAGTTTCTTAATATTCTGAAAATTATTGCATAATGTGTACTGACATTAACCCATGCTTTTTTTACCCCTGATTCTTTCCATTCCCCTCTCCCAACATTCAATATTTCGTCTTTTATTACCAAAGTTATCATTTCGGCTCCTTTGGTTCCCCTCCTGTTAATTTATTCCCACTGTGTTGGTATAAAGTGTGACTACTCGATTCAGTTGATGAGGTTGTGAATCTTCATAGACTTAAATGGATGTGCCACGTGTAACATTCATGAACACCGATTACCACGACGCACAATGGTGACTAGTGTTGGGGATGGTTGGAAGACGGCTAATGGCGGCCAAACCAAAATGTGGCATCAGTGCTTGAAGACACTAACATCTAGTCTGAGCCACGTTGGTAGATGCAGAATACTTGGTTGGGGTCCGCGTGACTATCGTAACCATTGGTTGGAGACTCTGTTTGACACGGCTCAGAATCGATCACAACGGCGTAGGTGTATACACTCTTTGTCTTCCTTTAAACTAAGAGATTAAAATCGCTTCATATCTTTCTTTCTACGTACCAAATCTTTCTTCCTATACTATGTCCTTATATGGAATCTTTCTTTTATATATTACCACCACTGAATTAACTACTATGAATTTGGTGTTCATCTTGTTGTGCTAATGAGGTATGGCAACTTGGATTGATGCATATATGTGCCTGGTCCTATGTTGCAGCTGACTGACTCGTTCCAATGAGCATCGTCCAGTTCAGGTTGCGATAGACTTAACAACTAAACTAAATACAAAATCCGTGACCATGTTTTTTTATGTTAGTTTTAGTATTTTCATGTCAAAACTTTGAAGCTATTTTAACTTTAATGAACATCACATGGAGGTCCGCAGGTTTTCCTACATTCTGTTTTTCATTTGTTGTAGGTTTATTTACTCAGAGATGTTACTAATGTACACTCAAATTCTTAAGTTATGTTCGACAGAATATGACATTTGTCTTACATAGAAATCGTCTCTGAATATTTCAAGATAATATGATTGTCCCAAATCAAACCAGGATGCAACACTTCTGGAGCTGGTAGATATCAAATTGGCATAAAAATTAAATGCATCTATGTCAAACAAAAGCAACACTTAGACCAACCCAACCAACAAAGTCGGGTGAATCTCAGTACAGCTGTCCCGCACCATGTGATGGTATTTTGCATAATGCAGATAACCTTACTAATTCTGCGGATAATAGTTTTTTGAGTCCTTCTACAAAAGATTCCTCCAGCAATTCTAATACTAATGACCCCATGAATGAGGTTCAAAGTCAACTTTCCATCCTAGGGTCAAATAATCAAATCCGATCACTTCCAAAGGAAGAGAAAGAGCAGTCTGATGTCATTAAGAAACTGGTTGATTCTGGAAGTCAAATGAGTGATTTGACTTTACAATGTATGGATAATTATTACGATGATGAAGATGACGATGCCTTGTTAGCAAGAGAGTTCAATCAAGAACCTGTAGGATTTGAGGGTAGTCCAGGTGATTGTGAATCTGGAGATTATGATATTGGAACATTTTCCCTTACTTCAGTTGATGGTAGAGCCGTCAAAGAAGAGTCCATTCCTCTTTTTGCACGTTACCGACCTTCTCCACCTCCTCCACTTTCCAGAGGACAAATACTATTTTCTCCTAACTTACGTAATCAGTCGTTAGAAGTTTCAGAGCAACCATCAAGGTTTATCAATTCGGAGTGTCTTCCACCACAGATCAAAGGGTATTCTCAGCTTCAAATGAGTGATTTAGAAACTGTCGACGATGATAACCCATCTGGTCGCAGATGGTTCTCTGAGGATGAAGCTGGTGATGTAAACCAGACTTTATATCATCGTGTCATGGAGGAACCTTCGCCTTTTGTTGGTTTGTCTACAACATTGTCCCCTATTGCACTCACGTTGGACACGGGTGTTATAACTTCTTCGTCACTGTCTTTGTCTTCAGCTTTATCCAGAGTAGCTGCAGATGACCAAGTTTCACTTCGACTTACCACTTCATCTAGTACAAGGAATAGTGCTAGTACTAATCCTGTTAATAGTCCACCTTTACAAGCTTCAACGTCATCTTCATATGGTCAACTTAGTCAGCCCATTTGTGATAGCCGACCACTTACCTCAGTTACTTATAATTCAGACCCAGTAATTTCTTCTTGTTCCAAAATAACTTCCTCTCATATCCCAGATGACCCTTCTATTAGCGCTCGTCAAAGATTAATGGGAGCGTCCGCTGCAGCAGCTATCTTGGCTGCATCAGCATATGCTGCGCAAAAACTACCCTGCGAAATTGAACAACTACAAAGACATGATCAATTTAAAGGAGCAGGATGTGATTCATTTACGTCAGTTACCTCAACACTCAGCATTAATTAATGACCTTTGTCTAAATTCACCACTTTTACAAATCCAATCAAGCTCGCACACTGCAATGTCTTCTCTCAGACGCCGTGATCCTTGGTCCATTCCTTTAAGAAAAATGTCTGTAAATCTAATACAAACGTACAAGCACATAAACGAGGTAATGTTTAAATGACCATGTTTTACTACATCAAGCGCGAGCAAATTTTACTATCATACGTCTTGTAAATTATTACTGCTCTTTTTTATAGCGGCAACATCACTTTTCTTAAACATATGGAATTGGTTACTAAGCAACCAGTTTAGAATTGAGGTCTAACTAAAATTAATAAAATTTTTAGCTTCTCCCCACAACTACTATATATGTTCTGATAGTTCTCAGTCACTTAGTTGATTAGGTTTTGAATGTAGTATTACAAAGACGCATTATTCATGGCACATTTTTTATCTACGCTCTTTGAGGAACCTGGTGCTCCGCCGCATACCTGATAGCGTATATCAGTCACAATAAATTTGACCTGGTCATGTATACATGCGCAACCAAATGATATTCCAGTCTAAAGACTTATTTAGGGAATATATACTAGACTTTGAAATGATTATTTAATAGCAAAATCCTAAATTGGTCTTGATGGTCATCGTCATTTAAGGAAACGTGCATCAGTAAACCTGGAATTCTCTAGAACTTCAAATCTCTCAGCCTACGTTAGAACTGTGACTGTTACGAAAGTTTTTAGGGTCGCTTTAAAGTTTATGCACGACTGAACGAATGGTCTTTACAAACTGATAGTAGTCACCACTTAGAAGACAGTCAATCATCTATCAGTAGGGATCAAACTAAGCATAAGAGTCATGTGTCCTGTCAAACATGCAATATTTTTTTCGTTTGTAAGAGAACAATGTGAGTGAACAGATCTTTTTGTGTAAAATATGATTTTGTGTAACAAATTCAGTTTCTAAAACTATATTACTGAATCACGTACTAACTAAACTAGGATATATTTTGTACCCTATTAGTGCGTATTTATAATAACAGTACAAACTCATTGAATCGAAATATTAACTAAACATGTAAATCGTTTCAAGAAATCTTTACGTTAACGTTGGACGGTGTTTTTTACTCAATAAACCATTCTTCATCAGGATTTCCGGTATTATAGTCCATTCACTAGTACAACTATAATACATAAGAGACTGTACTCTCTGAATAAGCTTCATGTTAGTGACTTTTAATTAATTTATTTATGGAGAAGTAAAGTATCTTCGTGTGCAATTCAACCGAAGCGGAAGTTAGGATGAATTGTTTTGTCGACCCAATCGGGTTGTAACTTTTGAAACACCTGTCTTTGTACAGGCAGAAGGTAGTCATTAAGATATTTCTCCCCAAATCCCAACATATGTGGTTATACTTTCAGAAAGTAGTGAAAAGTGGAACTAGAAAACCAGTCTTTGTTCTTCCCACGAACTTTCAATATGTTTAACAACGTTTTTGTTACAATATAAACGAGAATGAAGACCTAGACATTACCGAAAAAGTTGCACATCATTTACATAAACTTAAAATGTTTAGACTACATTGTTTCCAAATTTATATGTGGAAATAGGTTCGTGTCCGGCTAAACAACTGGGATTCTAGTCCCTAGGCCATTTGGATTCATTATATCAGGAGAAACTGGCTAGCTAACTACCGATACTGTGCAGCTGCGATTTCAGTTAGATTAGCTTTCATCGCTTGCGTTCTTTTCTAAGAAGAAAACAAGACATTACATTTGCAGGCAAACACTAGTAAAGCCAGGTAAACTTCTAATTTATGAACTTTGCTGTTACATCCTCATAAAAGAAAATGGATTTTTAAGCGATTATCATCAGACTTTCCACATAAGACAGTGGGAACATGTTCACATAAACCAGTAATTAAAACGGGTACATGTATCATATCTCCTTCAGGATCCACAAATTAATGTTTCCACCACTATTGAATCGGTTTCTCTGCTCTTTTTAGTAAACCCTCTATGCATGTCATCCCTGTATATAAGCGCCACCCGTTCACTTTTTTAACGAATATTCCCAACTATTTAAAGGCAGTAAGTTAGGATTCTATTCTCAAGACACGAGCTCGGAATTTTATGAGGCTATTTTTAAAAAAGTAGCAGGCTTCTAACCCTCAATCGTACCGTTTTATTCACATGGTCCGGTTGGATTTCATTGTAGTTCATTATCATTCAACCGTTGGTTACCATGATTATATGTTATCACTTGTTTTTAGGTGTACTATCGTAAGAAGCGACGACTTCGCGAACAACAACGTCAAACAAATGAAACTTCTGCTACAGTTCCTGAAGTACCTTACCTTCAAAAAGTTCGCTCACCTGAACATGATCTATTGCTTGGTGATCACCTGGATTCATTTTGGAGGATGTCGGATAGTAGTGAAGCGTGTATCAAAACACAACCAATGTATGACCATGGCACTTTGGGTGGTATTACTAGGACCACAGAACACCAATCATTCCCTTCAGGTGTTTCAGTTCAACATAGTTCTACAACATCTAACAATGCTATGAACGTGCCTACAAATTACAGTGTAGGTTCAACTGTTCAGTTACAAATGTTTCCATGCAACAATTCTGTTGTGTCTTCCAAAAGCTCGCCTCACCCTCGACATCGGACCGTACCGAATGTACTTCGAGTGAATTCAGATCAAATAGTACAACCTTATCTATATGATTCAACCACGTTAAATGGAGTAACAAATCGTTTTTCTACACTAGGTAATTAATATCAATTTTTATTTGTCAGTCAGTCAGTCAGCTACAACGTAGGACCAGGCACATGTATGCATCGGCCCAGGTTGCCATACCTCATTAGCACAGCAAGATGAACACTGGATTCATAGGAGTGGTTAGGTCAAAGGTGGTAATATATAGGAGAAAGATTGCAATAAGGATATAGTATAGGAAGAAAGAATTAGTTCGTAGAAAGAAAGATGTGAAGTGATCTTAATCTCTTAGTTTAAGAGAAGACAGAGAGTGTATACACCGACGCCATTGTGATCGATTCTGAGCCATGTCACCAAGGGTCTCCAACCATTGGTTACGAAAGTCACGCGGACCCCAACCAAGTAGTCTGCATCTACCAACATGGCTCAGACTAGAAGTTAGTGACTTCAGGCACTGATGCCACGTTTTGGTTTGGCCGCCCCTAACTTTCTTCCAACCATCCCCTACACCGGTTAGCATTGCACGTCGCGGTAATCGGTGTTCAGGCATACGTAATACGTGGCCCAACCATCTCAGTCGATGAAGATTCATAACCTCATCAACTGATTTACCATCATTCCCTAATACCCTGCGTCTAACCTCACTATTACTTACCCGGTGATCCCAGCAGATGCCAGCAATATTTCTAAGGCATCTGTGGTCAAATACTAGTAGCTTACGGGTGTCTTCTACTCTTAAGGGCCATGTTTCGCTGCCGTAAATTAAAACAGAACGGACAGCCGCGCAGTATACTCGTCCTTTTATTGATAGACGGATATCTCGCCTCCGCCAAAGGTGACGTAAGTTGGCAAAAGCCAAACGAGCTTTACGAATCCGTGCTGAGATTTCGTCAGACACCAACCCATTAGGGCTGATCAGACTTCCAAGATAAGTGAAGTTGTCAACACGTTCGACTACTTCACTCCCTATCCTTAGTTCAGGTGTTGACGCAGACCAGTCCTGAAGCAACAACTTGCATTTAGAGGGAGAGAAGCGCATCCCAAACATTCTGGCATTGTTGCTTAGTGCTACCAGAAGACTCTGCATTTTGTCAGCGTCTTCACCAAACAGGACTATGTCATCTGCATATTCTAAGTCGATAAGTGGACCTCCTGGAAGGAGATCAATACCCGAGAATTCAGTCGACGAGAGTGTTATTTCCATCAATAGGTCTATGATGAAGTTAAACAAAAATGGAGAAAGTGGGCAGCCTTGACGGACACCACTTGAGGTTGTAAAGGTAGATGACAGTTCGCCATAAGCCCTGACTCGACTAGTAGTGTTCGAGTAAAGAGCCTTCACAAGGTTTATGTACTTCTGAGGTACGCCTTTCAATGACAGACACTGCCACAGAGTCTCGCGGTCTACAGAGTCAAATGCTGCTTTTAAGTCAAGAAAGACCACCATCGTCGGACGCCGATAGGTATGCCTGTGTTCTAGAACCTGACGAATGGTGAATATGTGGTCGATGCAGCCACGACCAGGTCTAAAGCCAGCTTGGTTCTCTCGTGTTTGTAGTTCACGAGTCTTAGTTAGGCGTTTGATAATTATCGAGGCCAGTATTTTAGATACTATGTTTGTTAAACTAATCCCTCTGTGGTTGTCACAGGATGATTTTGACCCTTTCTTATATATTGGGACGATAAGTGATTGCGACCAGTCAGATGGGATAACGTCTAACTCCCAGATTTTAGCCAAAATATTAGTCAACCTAGTCGCTAAAATTGGACCACCATCCTTAAAGACCTCTGGAGCCAGTCCATCTGGACCAGCTGCCCTTCCTCGTTTCAGATTAACTATAGCCTTCTCAACTTCAGCAAGAGTTGGGGGACCTACTTCAATGTTCCATTCACACTGTCTGGGAATGGAGGGTAGTTGTAGAGTAGCTGAAGGCCAGCTGAACTGTTCTCTAAAATGTTCCGCCCATCGTTCTAAACGTCTGGACTGGGAGCAGATGAGAGTATCATCTTTTTCCGAAATAATCTCACTTACACTTGACTTATTAGTTCCAGTTTCTTTTATTAGTCTGTAAAGCTGTCTTGTGTTCCCTATAGTCGCCGCCTTTTCCATCTCTTTTGCTTTCGTTACCCACCACTGCTCACGGTCGTTCCTTAGACTTTTTCTTAACCTAGATCTGATTTGTTTACGCTCTTCATCATGTTCAGAACCTGATGGGACGAGTTTGCGAGAATCCATCAGTGTGACAGACCTTGAAGAAATCCACTGGTTCCTTGTAACTCTGTGGTTTAAGTCACTAATAGATGTCACTGCTGTTTCCACAGCTGCTTGTATGTCCTTCCAAGCAACATCTGGGTCAGCCTCGTCTTCACAACTAACTAAGTGTGACCTCAGTTGTTCCTGGAACCTACTTTTGGTTTTCTCGTTACTCAACTCAGTTCTAATGGGTCTTTTTAATGTGGCTTTTTTGCGTCCAGTGAGGCGCAAGCAGATGCGTGCCCGTATTAGGGCATGGTCGGAGTCCAAGCAGGTGCTCCAGAATGAACGACAATCTTCTACCGACCCTCTCCAACGATGACTGATGGCAATATGGTCTATTTGAGTCCATCGTTGGTTTGGTGTAGGGGGTCGCCATGTTAGACGATGTCTCTCCTTATGCTTAAAATTTGTGTTTGCTAAAAATAAACGATTGTCTGAGCATAGCTGCAGCAGACGATCACCATTATCTGTTCGCTGTGTCGGAATACTAAAATATCCACCTAAATGCCTTTCTGTTTGGTTTAAACTGCCTATCTGAGCATTAAAATCACCTGCTACGAGTACTATGTCTGAGCGTTTAGCTTTCTGAAGAAGTTCGGATAGCTTTCTGTAAAATTCATCTTTCACTTCATCTGAGCTGCAGTCAGTGGGAGCGTAGGCAGAAACGACAAAAAGGCAACGACGTGTGTCCCTATCCTTCCGAGTTCTTACGTAGCCGTTCAGCCGAACAGCACATAGACGACTGTTGACGGGGATCCACTCTAGCAGTGCTTGTTCGGCCCTTATGCTTAGTGCTATGCCTACACCTGCCAGTCCACGAGAACTTGCCATCGGGTCACCGGACACACGAAGGGTGTATCTCGTTGGCTCTCCGTCTTGCCGAGGTGAGGTCAAGTGAATGACCACACTGGAATCCTGTATGCGTGTTTCGGAGACACAGCATACATCAATGGAAAGAGACTCTAGGGTTTTAGCCAAGGAAGCCTGCTGACCGATTTGACATAGGGTGCGTACGTTGAAGGCTCCAATGTGTAGTTTGGAGCGAGGTTTCAGTAGACCTGGGACAGTGTTTTGCGCACTAGAATCGTTGGCTACGGTGACACTTGAGGTGGAAGCCGAGAGAGGAAATACAGAGTTGAAAGTCGATGTAGGAGGAATAATAGGAATTGAAGAGGAGGTTGATTATGAATACAGTGGTCTTGAGTGCTGTTAGAAGTATGAGGGCGGTTATCACTTCCCGGTTGCCCACACCGTGGAAGGGTTGTTCTGGAGGTACCTGAAAAGGAAATTGGATTAGAGGTGGTCTTAGTGACCTGAGAGCGTGACCGCAGTGCCCAAGGGACAACTGCTTGAGGTCGGTCACACACGACCTTGTTATGGGTAATTTTTGTGTTAGCTCCGTACTTATTGAGACCTTACCGCCGGAGACGGATATCCGTGGGATAAGGCGAGGTGTGCATTTTTAGGGTCGACCTTTTCTAACCCCACCCCTCCTTGTGGGAAGGCAGCATCGCTGTCATGCTGGTTGTCTGAAGGAAACACCTTACTGCTGTCACACCTCTGTACAGTCAGCAGTACGACTTCGCCTTCGGACCTTGGGTTTGTTGCTTTTAGTCTTACCGCTCTTCAACCGACCTGTCTGACATGGTAGGACCTTGAGGAACGGTTGTTCCAGCCAGTATAGCTCGGTTGCTTCATCACGATAGGCAAGCCTGACCACCATAAAGCAATCATCGTGACTAATATACTGTCTAAAATACTAGCCTTTATAATCATCCAATACATAACTAGTTGCGAAGAGCAAACCCATAAAAGTCAGACTGGGCTTATGCCGGGCCGTTAATGTATTAACCAGATATTCATTTTTCGTTAGGTTTTAAAATACGGTCATATTTACCGACATGCGACTATGGTTTTCTTCTTGATCTTAAGGCAGCATGCAACCCTTTTGACCGAGATGTTTTTTGAAACTGTATATGATTAAAGGGGTTACCAAATAAGTACATAAACCTCGTAAGAATCTCTGCTCCGACACTATTGTTCGAGTCCGAATTCATCGGTAAACTGTCAGTTGGTGTTTTTAGGGTTTCCCATGTGTATATTACAAGGTAGTCCTATATGTATCACTTGATTGTTGTGAAACATGGTCTATGAAAGTATAAAAGACACATAGGGTGCAAGCTTTTGATCACATATATCTTCGAAGCATTGTTTGTTTATTTTGGGATAGCCGTGTGAGGAATATTGAGGTTAGGCATACGGTACTAGACAAATGTAGGAAATCGGTTGAAGGGCGAGTATGGACCTTCATCGACAAAGGGGACTAGAACATGTGTCACGCATATCTAACCACCGCCTACCTCAATGCACTATTTCTACTGTTATAGAAATATGTTGGGAGAAAGCTATATGCTGTTGTACGAAAACATGAAGTTATTGACTGTTAGTCTGAGCCGTTGTTGCTGCCTTAAAGTGGTGGTCGGGCTTGCCTATCGTGATGAAGCAACCGAGCTATACTGCCTGGAACAACTGCCCCTCAAGGTCTTACCATGCCAGACAGGTCAGTTGAAGGGCGGTAAGACTAAAAGCAACAAATCGAAGGTCCGAAGGCGAAGTCGTACTGCTGACTGTACAGAAGTGTGACGGCAGTGAGGTGTTTCTTTCAGACGACCAGCGTAACAGCGATGCTGCCTTCCCACAAGGAGAGGTGGGGTTAGAAAAGGTCGACCCTAAAAATACACACCTCGCCTTATCCCACGGATATCCGTCTCCGACGGTATTTATTATTTATTTATTTGAACACATAAATACGGGTACAAGAAGGCACCAAACAAATATTCGCCACACAGTAAGATTTCAACAAGTACGGAGCTAACACGAAAATTACCCACAGAAATGTCGTGTGTGACCGACCTCAATCAGTTGTCCCTTGGGCACTGCGGTCACGCTCTCAGGTCACTAAGACCACCTCTAATCCAATTTCCTTTTCAGGTACCTCCAGAACAACCCTTCCACGGTGTGGGCAACCGGGAAGTGATAACCGCCCTCACACTTCTAACAGCACTCAAGACCACTGTATTCATAATCAACCTCCTCTTCAATTCCTATTATTCCTCCTACATCGACTTTCAACTCTGTATTTCCTCTCTCGGCTTCCACCTCAAGTGTCACCGTAACCAACGATTCTAGTGCGCAAAACACTGTCCCAGGTCTACTGAAACCTCGCTCCAAACTACACATTGGAGCCTTCAACGTACGCACCCTATGTCAAATCGGTCAGCAGGCTTCCTTGGCTAAAACCCTAGAGTCTCTTTCCATTGATGTATGCTGTGTCTCCGAAACACGCATACAGGATTCCAGTGTGGTCATTCACTTGACCTCACCTCGGCAAGACGGAGAGCCAACGAGATACACCCTTCGTGTGTCCGGTGACCCGATGGCAAGTTCTCGTGGACTGGCAGGTGTAGGCATAGCACTAAGCATAAGGGCCGAACAAGCACTGCTAGAGTGGATCCCCGTCAACAGTCGTCTATGTGCTGTTCGGCTGAACGGCTACGTAAGAACTCGGAAGGATAGGGACACACGTCGTTGCCTTTTTGTCGTTTCTGCCTACGCTCCCACTGACTGCAGCTCAGATGAAGTGAAAGATGAATTTTACAGAAAGCTATCCGAACTTCTTCAGAAAGCTAAACGCTCAGACATAGTACTCGTAGCAGGTGATTTTAATGCTCAGATAGGCAGTTTAAACCAAACAGAAAGGCATTTAGGTGGATATTTTAGTATTCCGACACAGCGAACAGATAATGGTGATCGTCTGCTGCAGCTATGCTCAGACAATCGTTTATTTTTAGCAAACACAAATTTTAAGCATAAGGAGAGACATCGTCTAACATGGCGACCCCCTACACCAAACCAACGATGGACTCAAATAGACCATATTGCCATCAGTCATCGTTGGAGAGGGTCGGTAGAAGATTGTCGTTCATTCTGGAGCACCTGCTTGGACTCCGACCATGCCCTAATACGGGCACGCATCTGCTTGCGCCTCACTGGACGCAAAAAAGCCACATTAAAAAGACCCATTAGAACTGAGTTGAGTAACGAGAAAACCAAAAGTAGGTTCCAGGAACAACTGAGGTCACACTTAGTTAGTTGTGAAGACGAGGCTGACCCAGATGTTGCTTGGAAGGACATACAAGCAGCTGTGGAAACAGCAGTGACATCTGTTAGTGACTTAAACCACAGAGTTACAAGGAACCAGTGGATTTCTTCAAGGTCTGTCACACTGATGGATTCTCGCAAACTCGTCCCATCAGGTTCTGAACATGATGAAGAGCGTAAACAAATCAGATCTAGGTTAAGAAAAAGTCTAAGGAACGACCGTGAGCAGTGGTGGGTAACGAAAGCAAAAGAGATGGAAAAGGCGGCGACTATAGGGAACACAAGACAGCTTTACAGACTAATAAAAGAAACTGGAACTAATAAGTCAAGTGTAAGTGAGATTATTTCGGAAAAAGATGATACTCTCATCTGCTCCCAGTCCAGACGTTTAGAACGATGGGCGGAACATTTTAGAGAACAGTTCAGCTGGCCTTCAGCTACTCTACAACTACCCTCCATTCCCAGACAGTGTGAATGGAACATTGAAGTAGGTCCCCCAACTCTTGCTGAAGTTGAGAAGGCTATAGTTAATCTGAAACGAGGAAGGGCAGCTGGTCCAGATGGACTGGCTCCAGAGGTCTTTAAGGATGGTGGTCCAATTTTAGCGACTAGGTTGACTAATATTTTAGCTAAAATCTGGGAGTTAGACGTTATCCCATCTGACTGGTCGCAATCACTTATCGTCCCAATATATAAGAAAGGGTCAAAATCATCCTGTGACAACCACAGAGGGATTAGTTTAACAAACATAGTATCTAAAATACTGGCCTCGATAATTATCAGACGCCTAACTAAGACTCGTGAACTACAAACACGAGAGAACCAAGCTGGCTTTAGACCTGGTCGTGGCTGCATCGACCACATATTCACCATTCGTCAGGTTCTAGAACACAGGCATACCTATCGGCGTCCGACGATGGTGGTCTTTCTTGACTTAAAAGCAGCATTTGACTCTGTAGACCGCGAGATTCTGTGGCAGTGTCTGTCATTGAAAGGCGTACCTCAGAAGTACATAAACCTTGTGAAGGCTCTTTACTCGAACACTACTAGTCGAGTCAGGGCTTATGGCGAACTGTCATCTACTTTTGCAACCTCAAGTGGTGTCCGTCAAGGCTGCCCACTTTCTCCATTTTTGTTTAACTTCATCATAGACCTATTGATGGAAATAACACTCTCGTCGACTGAATTCTCGGGTATTGATCTCCTTCCAGGAGGTCCACTTATCGACTTAGAATATGCAGATGACATAGTCCTGTTTGGTGAAGACGCTGACAAAATGCAGAGTCTTCTGGTAGCACTAAGCAACAATGCCAGAATGTTTGGGATGCGCTTCTCTCCCTCTAAATGCAAGTTGTTGCTTCAGGACTGGTCTGCGTCAACACCTGAACTAAGGATAGGGAGTGAAGTAGTCGAACGCGTTGACAACTTCACTTATCTTGGAAGTCTGATCAGCCCTAATGGGTTGGTGTCTGACGAAATCTCAGCACGGATTCGAAAAGCTCGTTTGGCTTTTGCCAACTTACGTCACCTTTGGCGGAGGCGAGATATCCGTCTATCAATAAAAGGACGAGTATACTGCGCGGCAGTCCGTTCTGTTTTAATTTACGGCAGCGAAACATGGCCATTAAGAGTAGAAGACACCCGTAAGCTACTAGTATTTGACCACAGATGCCTTAGAAATATTGCTGACGTCTGCTGGGATCACCGGGTAAGTAATAGTGAGGTTAGACGCAGGGTATTAGGGAATGATGGTAAATCAGTTGATGAGGTTGTGAATCTTCATCGACTGAGATGGTTGGGCCACGTGTTACGTATGCCTGAACACCGATTACCGCGACGTGCAATGCTAACTGGTGTTAGAGATGGTTGGAAGAGAATTAGTGGCGGTCAAACCAAAATGTGGCATCAGTGCTTGAAGTCACTAACATCTAGTCTGAGCCACGTTGGCAGATGCAGACTAATTGGTTGGGGTCCGCGTGACTATCGTAACTATTGGTTGGAGACTCTTAGTGACATGGCTTTCTGTAAAATTGATCTTTCACTTCATCTGAGTGAGGTGCCGTTGGGGGTATGAGGACGGTTATCACTTCCCAGTTGCCCACACCGTGGAAGGGTTGTTCTGGAGGTACCTGAAAAGGAAATTGGATTAGAGGTGGTCTTAGTGACCTGAGAGCGTGACCGTAGTGCCCAAGGGACAACTGATTGAGGTCGGTCACACACGACATTTCTGTGGGTAATTTTCGTGTTAGCTCCGTACTTGTTGAAATCTTACTGTGTGGCGAATATTTATTTGGTGCCTTCTTGTACCCGTATTTATGTGTTCAAATAAATAAATAATAAATACCGTCGGAGACGGATATCCGTGGGATAAGGCGAGGTGTGTATTTTTAGGGTCGACCTTTTCTAACCCCACCTCTCCTTGTGGGAAGGCAGCATCGCTGTTACGCTGGTCGTCTGAAAGAAACACCTCACTGCCGTCACACTTCTGTACAGTCAGCAGTACGACTTCGCCTTCGGACCTTCGATTTGTTGCTTTTAGTCTTACCGCCCTTCAACCGACCTGTCTGGCATGGTAAGACCTTGAGGGGCAGTTGTTCCAGGCAGTATAGCTCGGTTGCTTCATCACGATAGGCAAGCCCGACCACCACTTCAAGGTAGCAACAACGGTCGGGCTGTATTTGTGATGTCTGTCGGCGATTAAGCTGCAGTTTTTGGCCATATTTTTAAATAACTTTTTAAGGAAAAATCAACCCAGCAACACAACATATATCCGTATACATACTAGATGTCTGAAATTGCTAAATACTAACAATGTCCTATTTCGAACTGAAATTTGAGTCCCAATATTCTCAATGTAAATTTAACCCAACAATCGTTTCCTTAAAAGTAGTGAATAAAAGTGTTTTCTTAGTTTCATTTGTTTATAAAATTACACTTTCATACAATTTACAAAGCCCAATTATCTCTTTCTTTTAGATATTTCTGAGTCTATCTATGACACCGGTAATTCACAATTAGACTCAAGATTCATGCCTGTTACCCTCAATAATGTTTGGCTACCAACAAGCAGTTCCAGTACACTTGCAACACATATTTCTAGACCACTCCTACTTGAAAGTGGTAAGTCGGTAGTTCGTGACCAAAGAGATCCACGTGGTTCCAATAACCAGAGAGATACTGAGCCACATTCCACACATTTGCAACACATATTCCCATATCAATCTTTTCTGCCGTCAAAGACGGACTTTCCCACTTATATGGAGCAAAGTCCATTGTCTCTAGACAACAACATTCGTTCAAAAAACTCATCTCAAATCCCTCTGTGTCTTTTGTCAACAGGAGAGGCTAGGAATACCAGCATCACTACCACCGAAGGATTTTATCAGAATCAATTCAATTTAGATATTACGAAACCAATCAATCCACATCATTCAATTTCTTTCCCGGTTGGAAATTTCAGTTCCTCGAATTGTACACATAACAATAGTTTAAGATCATCAGCATGTTATTATAATTTAACACCGCTTGATTCAATATCCCCGACTAATAGTCGAATATCTGGGATGTTTTTAAATACGCATCAACATACTGCAAATACTTATCCTGTTAGTCATAGTCAAATAATTTGGTGTCAGCTTCTGTAACTTCACCGTCACATATGTGTATGTCTAAAACTAGATTCATAATTTATGTGTTATGATTTTATGTCAATATTCATTTTATGCGAATCCAAAAGTCCTTTAGAGTTGTAGCACTTCTTGCTGAAGCATTATTAGGAGTCAGCTTAAATAAAGTTGGGTCGAAAACAATGAAGAGTTCCATGTCAGTATGTGTTTTTGAGCTGTTTTTTTTACCGTGGAATATACATCCGATCTCTGGTGTCTTCAGATCACTACTTACATCCAGTATTGCGATCGAGCCTACAATACTGTAGGTTTGTACGTGATTTCAGGTAAGAGAGGAATGACATGTTTCGGATCAGCTAAGAAACTCAACTTTCGGCTAACTCAGTGGAGCTGTTAAAATATGTTCGTCATGTAAGCAGAACCCGTGAACTTGATGGATCCATCCATGGTGACTTAAAATTCCAAACCAGGGGTGCATATAGGCTCCATGATTCTGAAGAAACAAACTGTGTAAGCCTATCATGGTCGTGGTCACCATGGAAATACAGCTTCTAACTTTTGGTTGATAAACTCTCCTGACAACTAACAACCGTATTTGAAGGTCGTGGACTTTAGATCCATCTTGTAAAATATGTTCATCTTTTATGTTGTGACCATTAATCAGTCTCTTCGGGTTATGCACAACCAATGAAAATTCCATTTAATAATATGAACACGTTTTTTGCAAGTGTTTTGTTTGCGTTAAATTTGAATTACAATCAGTACGTACCTCAACAGAAGTCAAAGATTGTATTACTATTTAGAAGTAATTACGTAAATTCTCTTAAGCTTAGATCAATTAACATTGCACAACATTAAATGTTTCCTGAAATAATATCAAGTGACTATCAAGACTCAGTAGCTGAGTGGATAACGCGATGGCGTTTGAAGCGAATGGTACTGGATTCGAGTCCTAGAGTGAACATCAACTCGGATGCAGTCATGTCCAGCTAACGAGTCCCAAATAGAACGAAACGCGCGTCCTGGATTCTACTGCTAGCCACTATCCATCATTGCTTATAATATCAATTTATGTTGGTCTACGTTGTGTATTGTGTTAAAAACGCATGTTAACTGTTATCTGTTCAGATTTTTACCAGTACTACATCCTTTAAGCTTTTCAGATATTTCATATTAGTTCGGCGAAGCGATCTTCTTGAAAACTTGTGAAATACATGTTTTTAGGAATAAGTAATGACTAGAATATATGCTCTATTGATTTTTACTATTTCACACTTTCATCGATAATTTTTTTAAATATTATTTTGTAGCTGGTTTTCGTCAACGTTTCGACCTCACGTCACAAAGTCAAGATGCTTTAGCAAATACAAGAACATCACCACATGATAACATCCTTGGGGTTACTAGCACTAGTCCTGCCAGCCCGCTTTTGCCATCCATTTTTTCCGGTCACGTGTCTAATCCAGCTTTAATTACATCTTTAAGCACATGCGTTGCACGACCTCATGAAGGCAATGTAAATCAACTGTATCCACTTGGTTTGTCTACTAATGAAGTGTTACACTCTTCCTATGCACAAAATGCTCTGTCAAAATCCACAAATGTTACATATGTAAATCAACCTATGTTTTTCAACTCGGCACTGTCAAATCAGTTTGTTCACCGTTCTGGTATAAATCAAATAGGGACTAAGGTGGTGATCACAAACTCAGACATTCCTGGGACATCAACAACAGTCTTATCAGCAGCTAGTGTAACAGTGCAACAATCATCTGGATATCCGGTTCAAGCAAAATTAGTATAGTAAATAGTTCTACTAGTACTACTACTACTACTACCACTCATCATGTAGATCGTCGTCATACAGATAGCAATTATGATTACATTGTTAGGCCCGGTGAGGTATGGATGGGACAATACTTAATTAACAATCTTATTGGAAAAGGATCGTTTGGTCAGGTAAATTTTCTTTTAACCAAATTACACGTCTTTTTTCATGATAGATTTTTTTACCTGAAACTCAACCATTTTTATACAGGATGCATCATCTATGAACGAAGGCTTCTTTACCTATATATCACTATCCATAAACGTATTGAACGTCTGTTAGGTATCCCACATAGATTCGTCAGAGCTATTCCACCGAAGCCAAATATAAGCCATTTATCACAACTAAGATATCTCTTTTACTCAAAATTAGTGTGTCATAAGAACAGTATTGCATCTTATATTTACAACAATTTTATGACAGAATCTTCGATATTTCTTTGTAGATGTTATAACTAATGTGATAATACGCTTGACTTACATGTTAATCCTGTAATGAGGTGTGAAATTGTTTAATTTGAAAGTGTATCCTTACAGAATCAGCAGTTATCGCTAAGTTGAATTACCCTTATCAACTGGTAAAAATGATCTGTCCTGCTATGCTAGAATTTTAAACTAATTGTAGAATAATGTGCCGGATCAACACCCAAATTTGAAAAATCACATAGAAGCAAATATTACGCTATAAAAATAAGCGAAAGTAAAAATGTATGAACTCAAGTTATCTCCTAGTTCTTAATTACATTATTTTCAACATATTATTGCTTAAACACAAGTTCACAACACCAATATTTGTATTTCCTTATCGATTGGATGCAGTTCTAGTGGCCCATCTGACTATAATATATTGATCCGCGACATACATATATATCCCGTATTAATTTCGTATGTTCCCTAGGTCTTGTCACGTTTATATAACGTTGTGTAAAACGTCTATTATATTTCAGACATTGGCATAAATGCACAAAAGCCAACAGAGAACAGCATACTAGTCAACTCGCCAAATAATTTTGTTTTTCATATACAAAATAGACCGATAATGGGTAAGGATTGAGATAGACGGACACATAAAAACGTACATATCTAGGTCACAATTACGTGTGAGAAGCACATAATTACTAGGAGGACTAAAATAGTGTATTGGTCAGATCCTGTCCGAATTATTATGCCCAAATTAAAATAAATTCGCGTTTATTTGTTAAGAATGAATACTGGTACAACTGTACACCAAAATAAATATGCACCACACAAGTAAGAAAATGAAACTGTGAAGAGATAGTTAGTTGAGAAGTATAATCAAAAACAAAAGAATAGAAATAAGGGAACAGGAGTAGTGCACGCCGTACCTGCAGACACTGATTGCCGACTAATTAAGCGCAGTTTTCATAGTTTTTGTATCATTGAACAGTAAGATAGTATCATCTTCATGCCCAAGACCGAAAAATCTTTTTCTAGGTAACAGATACACACCACCGCTACGTATTTTCATCAGAGTGGTCTCCAGAATATGAAAATGGGCAACCCCAACTAACCTTACAGGTGAAATTTAACGATATAGACAGATTATACGTCCTCACTCTGTCTGAGGTGTTTGTGTACAAACTTCTGTAACACCCCTTTTGTTAACAGATAATCCGAGCGCACCGTCCTCTCCTACTAGTTGAAGTGAGTCAGCTGCAACGTAGGACCAGGCACATATATGCATCAGTCCAAGTTGCCATACCTCATTAGCACAACAAGATGAACACCAAATTCATAGGAGTAGTTAATTCAGTGGTGGTAATATATAAAAGAAAGATTCCATATAAGGACATAGTATAGGAAGAAAGATTTAGTACGTAGAAAGAAAGATATGAAGCGATTTTAATCTCATAGTTTAAAGGAAGACAAAGAGTGTTACAGGCTAATTTACTGATATAGTTTACTGAACAATTCATGTTATTTTTAAAAGACCTTTATTTGTACATATCAGCCTGTAAGATGCCTGTTTAAAATTTGTCTGTTTTCTAATTTACTGTGTGTATTATATCAGGTAATGAAAGCACATGATTGTATTTCAAATGAAGATGTGGCTATTAAAATTATCAAAAATAAACGCGCATTCACTAATCAAGCTCAAGTTGAAATTCGTTTACTACGTGAAATGAATCATTTTGTTGAAGAAGCTGCTGAAACTGGGAAAGAACCACCACCTGGATCTAATTTGATTGGTGAGTTCTCATTTTTGCCTTGTACATAAAATGATTTCATTGAGTTCTTGTTTTCCATTTCATGAATTACCACTAATGTCACAGCAGAAATAATGATTTTAGTTGAGTTTTTCTTTCATTAAGAGACAGTGTTAAGTTAATAAATCATTTTGACTTTGACTGAATACGGTAAAATAGTAGTTTATTCGTTTGTTTATCATGATTAATTCGGTTAGAAAATTATCTGTTAGAGTATTTCTTTTTTCTACAACTTTCCTTATAACACATTTCAGAGTTGATTTACGCTTTGATCTGTTTATTTAGTAGTTAGTGCTATTATTCTGCTATATTTTGTGAAAAATCATAAATTCCCTGGTAAGACCGAGGGTGGGGGAGAGTCCGCTCTCCCTCTCAAAATGCTCTCACATAGCCGTGCGTATACAGCCGTTGCCAGGGGAGTTCTACTAACTGCCTTCTCATGGGGGAGGTGTTGTTTACGAAATTGGGAGGATGAAAAGCGAATGTCCGGCGCCTTATCCTGGTTGGTGAATACGTAGGATCCACCTATGGGAGTTGGAAAACCCTTATTCCAAACCAGTGGTGTACATGGAGTCCAGTATCCTGAAGAAACAAATGACGTATGAACTAGTCGTTGGTCACCAGCTACCATAGGACTGCAGCTCCTGACGTTTCTCCGCTGCCTTGTGGATCTGACCTTTAGATCGAAGGCTCCGGGTGTGGCCCTCTTATAAAACAACCTGTTTCGGTTTGGGTACCCAGGCAGTATCACAGCCCACTCACAAATCAAGTGACTTGTGTGGTGCATATGTATTCGGTTCCTCTTTGTACCAATAGTTATGTGTTCAAATAAATAAATAAAAATAAATGGGTTTATTAGACCCATATATTAATATCTCTCCATTAGTTCAATACTTTTAAGTTTCGTTCTAATCATTTCTGATTATAACTACTCTATTTTGTGAAATACATTTCACACTGTGCTTTTATATTAAGTTTTCGAAAGGTGATTTCGTTTTTGATATGATGAGCTACACTAGCGAACAACAGTCTATATAGCGTGAAATAATAATAAGAAGCTTGATTTGCTTAATAACTATACATGCCGTACATAGAAGCTTTATGATTGTATTCGGCGTTTTAATTCACCCTAATTAAATGTTACCACTAGCTATTTCATCCAGAATATGTGTATTTTCGTCCTTTGGTACAATCTTGAGTTGCGTGAGTGAGCATTAAAAAACGAGTAATCGATATTGTAATTCATACATACTTCTCTTCTTGGAATCTCACCAATAAGCCATTTAATATTTCCTCTTAATCACAACCATGAAGTTGTAATTCTCTCAATTTGATTCTATTACCTTTCTTTGACTATAGCTTTGGGATAGGACTTTCTAGTTAGATAGAATCGATTTTTGTATTAACATTTAGAATGTAACTATTTAACAGCGCTCAGCAACCTTTCATCTGAAGTTTTCTCATTCTGTCTTTGCATCGACGTTTTAATCATGTGGCTTTGAACGTACTGCCATCAACGTTTTAACCGATAATTAGTTTTTCTCATCTAACATTTTCAAAATACGATGGCTAACTGGCACTTAATCCCCCCAGTTTTATTCGGTTCCAGTAAAATCCAAATAACCTTCAAGTGATCTTGAAACTCCATGTATAACAGTCAAGACATATCTATCTCATAGTTGGGAAGAATCATAGTTCTTGGATTTCTATTGCTATACTAACCAAGTGTCCTTACATGCTAACATTTATTATTATATTGTAGGCAGTTTGTTAATAGAATTCTACTGTACTAATTTTGCTTGCGTTCTTTTCTTTTTTTTCTTCTGTCAGTTCGTTTACTTACTCATTTCACATTCAGAGGTCATTTATGCCTGGTATTCGAGTTACTTTCATACAATTTGTATGATCTTTTAAGAAATACAAATTTCCATGGTGTTTCATTGGGTTTAACAAGAAAATTCGCTCAACAATTATGCTGTGCATTAGATTTTTATCTAGACCTGAATTACAAATCATACATTGTGATTTAAAACCGGAAAACATTCTACTTGTCAATCCTAAGCGCTCAACCATAAAATTAGTGGATTTCGGAAGCTCTTGTCATATAAATGAGAAGATTTATCAATATATCCAATCACGCTATTATCGTTCACCAGATGTTCTACTAGGATTAGATTATACCATGAGTATTGATATGTGGTCTTTGGGATGTATTCTAGTTGAATTACATACTGGGGAACCTTTATTCGCTGGACAAAATGAGGTGAGTTTCTTGGATATGTTTCATTATCCGTTTCCAATTCTTTTCATCTTGTGTTTATATCTAGTTGCTTTACTAGCCGAACATTATCCCCAATAATCGTCTCTCCATGTCTAATTAGCACACATACAGCATAGAATGAATGTCGTCACGTGAATAACGAAACCTGAGTTCTACATGCATGTCTTAGAACAGGGCATATATTCTTGGTTTAGTATTCCAACGTTGACTAGTGAATTGGCTCGAAAAGCTGTTGCGTTGATTTACAACTTAAGTATACTATTTCGTAAAACCAAAAAGTTTGTCTTGATTTCAAATGTAGAAATTAAAAAGTGTAAAGGATTTAGTGGTAGGATTGTATGAAGTGTTTATTAAAAGTTATCCGGAAGGCGAGGTTATAATGAGCACTGGAAACAAAGCTGTCAGTTTTATGCTGTTATTAGGTGGTAAATGTAAATATCGCGTGTAATTTGACTTTTGTCCTATTGATTGCTCGTATCAAACTGTCTCTCAATAAGGCATTTAGTATTTTTTAAAAGGGATATGTGATGTTTATCATAAATCGAACTCATCCACATTTATGAAAGAGGTCTCTCGATAGTCTGTTTATAACCACTTCAAACTAAGGTAATCATTATACCCCTGACACTACAGGACGTTCGTAAGAATGCATTCAAAACTTTTTTGTTATTACCTACCTATCCATAAAACATTTGTACTGAAAGTTAATTTTATCATTTTTCAATGGAATACCGTCAGATACATTATACTAATTCGCTTTTGAGCTCCAAATACATTAACTTAACTATTCATTCAATATCGTTGAAAAGTTAGAAACATTGTGTATTTTTCGTTTGGTTATTGTCAGGTTGGACAAATGATGAAAATTATTGAAGTTCTTGGTATGCCACCCCGGTTACTACTAGAAAAAAGTCGTCGTTGGCATGTATTTTTTGAACGAACAGTTGATCGCACTTATGTACCTAAAGTAAGTTTGTCAAACGAAAGTTTTTTTCCTCATATTGAGATTGGTCTTTTACGATAATTTTTCCTGCATTAACGCACTATTTTTTTATTCTAAAGCGTGAAGAATTTACCCTGAATTCAATATATCTATCTTTAAGGCAATTGATAAAACTAATGTGTATCGTAAGTTTACACCATAATATCTTGTACGTTAAACCAAGGTAATCTAAGGATTGATTAAAGTACCCAACTTCTCAAGTCACTATTTTGAAATCTTGGATTATTAATAACTCATTTCCGTTTATGTGAATTTAAGCTATAATTATGATCAATTATTACATAATACAACGTAGATACCAATTGTAGTACCAAAAATATGAAAGTTATCTGAGCATGAAAACAGTGGGTTAGTTTAGTTGAGATTAGATGAGGAAACGTTCAGATTAACTGTTCATAAAATATTAACATAGGGTTATCACAAGTCATTTTAATAATTTTTCGAAATTCTGTAGTTTGCTTACTCCAATGGAAGCTACACAGTACCGCGAAAAAGAATAGTTAATTAGTATGCTCTTTTCTTTCACTTGTTCTCTGATTTTTTGAGACGCGTGGTTTATTTTATCTGATACTCATTAAATTTAGTGGAGATTCCAGATCCTTTTACTCAACAAATTCATTATCTGCACGTTCATAAATCACCTTTATACATAATAATCTTTATCCATCTCACATTGTTTTCAAGCTTGTCTATTGGCTCGAAGTCAGCTATTTTTAAATGACCAAGCACACTACTTATAAGTAGGTAAATGTTCCGTAAAAATATTATTTTGGTACTGCTTTGAACTGGATGTCAGCTACATATTATGTATCAATTGTTAGCTAACCATTACTCAACATAATCAACCATTCTACGGTTTGAAAAACATTATATATGTTTATATTTTACATATTAGCTTAATTCCTTTCTACTCTCATCAACATAGGCTGCTTGCCAGCAACCAGGTAGTCGTCGTCTTTCTGAAATTTTGGGTGTCAATACTGGAGGACCACGTGGGCGACGTTTACATGAATCTGGTCACACCCCAATGGACTACAGCATCTTCTTGGAGTTTGTACTGCGAATGCTTACTTTCGATCCAGCTCGACGCATTAGTCCTGCTGCAGCATTAGGTCACCGGTTTTTTCGACGTTCAAATCCAGTGCCTTCTGGTGCCAACGTACTACAATCGGGTCAGTGTGATTCTGTTTCAAACGCTCCAGGTGTGTTTTGTTTGAAATTAACTAATTAATTACCGAGTGTATTTGTTTGCCGGCAACCTATTTTTGTCTTAAGTCGTTTTGCTAAATGACCATTCATCGTTATAATATGGCTCTTTGGTATTGATTAAAAGTGGATTTTATATAATCTTTCTTAATAAACAAACTATTATTGTAAAAGAAACATAACAGTTCGTTTTTGACATTTTCTTTGGTTGTTTCAAGTGTATTTATCTTATTTGATACTCTATATTAGTATTTGATACGGTTTTATGGTGGTGGTGGTAGTAGCAGTTATAATAATAATAATAACAATAATAATAATAATTAATAATAATAATGGATAGTATTATAATTTAGATGTCAAGATTAATTCAGTACTCACATCAACATATTTTAATTGAATTTAGTACATTAGGTTGGCGTGACTTTTCATTTAAAAAGGCTTCAAGTGGCTATACATTAAAATTTTGGATGGCATGACACTGATGTGAAATTCCTTTTAATGCTCATATTGAAATCCCGTAATGCTGTTTACGTGTGATTGCTTGATTTATTTATTCGCATCCATAGTAGTTTTATTGTATGAATGATATTAAGTCCATATTTACTTAAATTCTTAGTATTAGACTAAGGCATAATAACATAAAATCTCGTTGCACAAAATGTTTATCATTTTAAACTATCACCTAAAATACCACTTGGTGTTCAGAGTTATCAAGTAAAAAGGAAAACGTCGGGGACGAAAAAAACGTAAATAAACAGTGCGTTTTATTTTTAAGGCCGTAAAACAATTTACAACTTTCAAATATTGATTTTAACATATCAAGCACACTAGCTACTTTCGTACACAGCCTGAAAGTAATCATAAGCAATTTCGTAAATTTTGAGTTACATTTTAATCTTATCATTTTCGCTTTTGCAAACTGCTGTTGAATCATTGGATAGTATACATCGTAGAAAGGAGCCATTTTCTGTTGGGTAGCGTATGTTCTAGGCGCATTATCTCTGGACTGAACTCACAAACTCCTCCCTTTGTGTATATTGAGACCTACTGCTGCTGAGGCTGCTGCTACACTGGTCGTTTTCTCCTGCATTTGTTGTTGCGTTTGGGCTAGAAGGGTCAGATCATCTGCGATGTCTAGATCGTCCAACTGCATCCTAGATGTCCATTGTATCCCGTGCTTCCCTTCAGACGTTGACGTCTTCATGATCCGGTCGATAACCAGGAGAAAGAGAAAGGGTGAGAGTAAGCAACCTTGCCTAACACCGGTCTTCACTTCGAACGACTTTGACAACTGTCCTCCATGCACGATTTTGCAGTGTAATCCATCATATGAACTCGGTATGATATTGACTATCTTCTGAGGCACGCCGTAGTGTCGAAGAAGTTTCCATAGTGTTGTTCTGTCCACGCATACTTAGACTAAACGTGTATATTTGTATCTATTCATACATTGAATGTGAAAACTTTTTTTCAGATTTAATTAGTGATAATTCTTGACTGTAAGTGGTTAAAACTGAGTTCAAGGTGTATGATATCAAATTTTATTATCTTATTTCCTAATCCTTTCCCTTGAATAGTAGTAATAACAACAAATGCTATAAAACTTAGTTCATCTATACCACCATTAAACTAGTGTCAGTCTTTTTTATTCACTTTATTCACTATAATTATGTTAAATAATTCATGACTGTAATACCCAACACTAATGGATACACAATCTTTATTATATTTAAGCGAAACTTGAATGGATTACATAGAATTATTAATAAATTAGATCCCTTTAGAGAAAGCATTTGCCAATAAATGTTAATGTATAATTAAAACACATAACCAAACACTAAATAAAAGAATACAGTTTTATTGTAAATTCAATAAGTATAACAAGACTAAAGGTGTAAAAAGCTTATGAAATGGTAAAAAATGCAAGAATTTAGAAAAAATGACATTTTCATATGTATATTCTGAAGGTACTTGAAAGAAAGCCTTTACACATTAGTTTCATGCTGTTTACCGCTGTCAACAACTTGTATCTACTATCTTTGAAAAAATCTCTTCCTTCGCGTAAGGAATATTCAAACCTGCATCATGCATCAGTGGGATTCAATTTACATAAAAGACTAGACAGGAGCATGATATATCAGTAACTATTCAGTGGTGAATAAGAGTGAATTTGTTTTTAGGAAGGAATATATATTTCATCATTACTGCAGTTAATCACCTTTCAGCCATGTCACATCTTAATCGTTAATCTCCAATCTTAAATCTTGTATTTCAGTGTTGTCCTAAGCGTCCGGCCACAGTTCTATTTCATCCAACTTAGTGTTATAAGTAGTACTAGAAACTGTGAAGCACTTTAAGCATCAAAATTAGTGCAAACTTACGGTATTGTGTAAATTTGATTTTTGCTTCCCTTACCGAAACAATTAATGTACATTCCATGTAAAATAGTATTTCTATAAAAACTGAGCCAATTATATATGATTAATTTATCTCAGACATTAGAAGATTAATTTATAAATTAGGATATTGGTCCCACTAGTTGTCACTGTTTCTCATCAATACATAAGCGTATAGCGAACAAAATATTCACTCTGTATGTGTTTACAATTTTAACTATTTGGGACACTCTCCTTTGGGAGCTACACCTCTAGGATCCTATCAGTTAGTGATCATTATCACATAATCAAACCCGAACTATATTTAACTGAAGTGGCTACACACCCATTGAGAAGTGAAATCTGTCCATTAGACTACAGTTTTATGTCTTGATGCTGAATAGTGTTTTGTTAAAACCCGCTTAGATATTTGGATTATGAGACTCGAACCCTCCAAACGTCAACATATCCACTCAGTTATTGAGTCCAAATAGCCACTATGTCCCTCAACGAGTATGATGCGTATTCGTAGAGGTTTGTATCATTCAAATATAAAAATGATTGTAAAAAAGTCCATATCTAAATGATCCACTTCAGATACACATGTGTCAACAACAGCAGAACAATACCAAACCCTTATGAATAAGCAATCCGTTTATATTTTTACGAAACTTATGAGTACACCTTAAATCTGTTCTCGACAACCGGTCAGTCTCTATTCTTTGAGTGAAACAGACTTTTGAATCTACTTTGGTGTATTCATATTTTCTATTTTTATCCTATTTTAGTCCTAGTTTGTCCCCCTCCTAACCATTGGGCCAATTTTGTCGATAATCCAACATCTAATCTAGTACATAATCATTTGAATAACTTACGAGTTTCTGGACACTCTGGTGTTGGTTTGGTCAATCGAACAACTGAACATTTAGAACTCATGCGGATTCAACAACAACCCATGCGAAGTGCAGTCACTGGTTCTGTTATGGTTTCACAGCCTCGCTCCATCCCAATTATATCTAATGATGGTGTGATAACACAAATTGCTGAACCGCTCTCACCTCTTTTATATGGATATCACGGACCATTTCATGTTCATTCTAACCCAGGTCCTCTACCTCTTCAAATTTCTCGTGTCAACCCAGCGCACCTTATGCAAGGCGTTCATTGCTTACCCTCGGTAAACCAAACTCATACTATGCCAGCCACAGCGATTTCAACTACTTTTACCGATTCAACTCACTTTCATCATCCATATTATATCGAATCTGGAATGTATGCTTATCCTCAACAACCTATCCAATTAACATGGATCAGTGGGTTAGGTGAACATCATTCAACTAGTTCTACCGCATGTCTCACATCTCCTGATATAATGAATGTAGCTTCTGCTTCTCCGGAGTTTGGCGTTAAATTCCAAGACGAAAAACAAAGGGTAACAGTAATAGGTTTGCTAATGCATTGAAAATTTTCCATTATTTCTTATTCGCCTCAAAAATAGCCGTTCTGTGATGCGAATTAACATGTTCACAATCAAATATATATTCATTGGGTTTTTTAACTCATGTATATGCATCTGACGATATACCATATATATATGATTCTTTGCAAATTCCTCCCTTACCGGTCTTCTATTGTACAGTCATTTTTGTCTGTTTTACAATTTTGTTTCTCTTCTTTTCTATAATTCGGATGTGCGTGGTATCTGTGTTTTATGTTCAAATCTCAAAATATTCATTTACTCTCTTTTAACTGTGATTTTGCTGTGACACTCGCACATTGTACTACTGAATATAAATTACTTTTATCCTAAACAATTAAGAAACTGACTAACAGATATTTCCACATATAATGTTTCTGTATACACATACATATGTATTTCTTCATAGTAATATTATTTTTAAAAAATTACATGTTATGCATTGATGCTCCTGTATTCGAATATAAAAAATTATTCGTTTACAATGTGTGCATTAGGTAAGTGCATTTGAATGCTTTGGAATTCCCGACTTACGATTATAGAAAATGTCGGATTCAGAATCAAACATTGATATGAGTGCACCATTTTCTAATATATATGAGTTATATAGCATATACGTATTTGTGTATACACAAGCTTTGAGCAAATCTAGGTAGAACAGATTCCCTTACTTCCACAAATTTTTATGATTCCTTATATTATATCTTAGTTCTTTTCTCTGTTGAATTGAATTGATTGTCTAATCGAGTATGTTTTATGTTGATCTGTTTCTCTATTTCGTTGATTTTTTTGCGTCAATGCGTACAAATATGTACCGCTTACATTCCTGTTTACGGAGACAGAAAATATTTGAAAACTAAATCCCCCTTTAGCTGAAGTAAAAAAGAACCTTAACCATTTCGTGATATGTATCTTTTTTTATCTATATTCTCCCGGAACCCTATTGTGTATGTCCGTGAATATACAGATGTCTTTGTGTTCGCGTGTGTACATTCTTTATTCTGCAAATATTCTAGCTAATGAATTTAAAACTATTCAGGAATAACAACTGATTTTTCCCGTGCAGTATAAAGGAAATGCTTCTATTTGATTTGTGGTGATTTTTCTTACATTACTTCTAATTATCATAAAATGTCGTTCTTGTTTCTTTTTTTGAGGGGTAATCGATAATCCTTTATATATTCTGCGCATAGTCAACATAGTTATGTCGACCCGCTTTGCCATACTACTTAAACGTAACGCGATGAAATTCATAAAATAAATAACAAAAGGCTCGGGATAATTGTAGTATTAGTAATAATATAATAGACTAAACAGAGAAATTAAATAAAGGATTAGTAAGTATGGACTAATACTGGAACTCAAGGGTGACGAGTGCATCTGTGCCACTTTGACTGATGTTCAAATATATCACCTTGGTTCTTCAACCATTGTACAAAAGTATCCTGTGGACCTCAAGTGGTTGGTCTACATCTATCAACATGGCCAAGATCGACAATTAGTGACTTTATGGGCTAACAGTATATCTTTGTTTGACCGGTTTTTGGCTCTCCCCCAATCTACTCCATCCAACACTGGAAGTCGGGATAGGTGGTGATTAAGCATGCGTACCACCTTCCAGGCACCTGAGTCGATCGAATTCCATAGCCTTATCAACCGATCAGCCATATCTTTTTATTATCCTACATCTAACCTCAGTGTTAACCACTCACTTGTTCCTCCACGCACGAGTTTTCTAGAAATTTCAAATACTAGTGACCTCCGTTTGTCTTCTACTTCCAGAGATCACCTTTCACAGCCACGAGGTAAAAACTGCGAACTATAAACTGGAAATATTATCACCTAGAAATCTAAATCAAAAATATTTTAGTTGTGAAACTAATCACTAGATAAGACTACGATATTTGTTTTTTCAATCAGTTGGAGTTACTATTCGAATTTCATCAGCCCTATGTAGAAAACACTTTATATTATGCTTTGATTCATATACCTTTATTTATTTGATTACATAAAAATTGGTACAAGGGGCCACCAAATACATTTGAGCCACACAATAACAGTGAGGTTGTGAAGAGATAGTGTAAAGTGTGTATAATAAAAGAACAGAATTTAGTGTACAAGAGTGAAGTAACAATAATAAGAGAAATAGTTCAGTTAGCAAACATTTAAACAGAAAGAATACCGTCAGTCAAAGAAGTTATATTCATTTTTATAAAAAAATTAAAGCACCATCGCCCCCCCCCGAATGCCCTGGTACGGCCGAGAGTGGGGAGAGTCCGCTCTCCCTCTCGAAATACTCTCACACGGCCGCGCGTATACAGCCTCTGCCAGGGAAGTCCTACTCATTGCCTTCTCGTGGCGGGGGTGTTGTTTACGAAAATAAGAGGACGAATAGCGAATGTCCGGCGCTTTAACCGGATCACAAACCAATGGTGCACATGGGCTCCAGTATCCTGCGGGAACAAATGGCGTATGAACCAATCGTTGGTCACCGGCTACCATGGGATTGCGTCTCCTTACGATGCTCCACTGCCTTGTGGGTTAGACCTTTAGGTCAAAGGCTCGGGGTGTGGCCCCCTAAGATAACCACCTGCTTCGGTTTGGGCACCCGGGCAGTATCACAGCCCACACATAAATGATGAACTCTTTATGTCTATGTAAATTACTTTTCTCGCTTCGAAAAACAATCAATTTATTCAAATTATTATCATTACAATTATTGTCATTATTATTATTATTTTCCACATTATTCACCCTCTTTTATACTTATACAGCGGCTCGTCTTTGGTGGAAATTCGACTGTATCTAAACGTTCTCGAGTCACTGTCCGGTTGAAAATTGTATGTTACCACCGAATACGAGGACTGAAGCAGTTTTTCTGAAACCACGTGCACCATTCAAACTGGCTGCCTTCAACGTTCGCACATTTATGCAGGTCGGACAACAGATAGGGCTGGCTATGTCTTTGGAAAGTCTTAATATCGATGTTGTTGTCTATCCGAGACCCGTATTCAAGACTCTGGCGAAGTACTACAAATTCGATCTCCATCTGTCGCTTCGAAAAGCTTGTTTTACGTGCGCTTATCCGGGGACCCTGTGGCATCTTCGTCTGGTCTTGCTGGCGTTGGTGTCGCACTAAGCGCTAGAGCTGAGGCAGCACTAGTCGATTGGATCCCCATTAACAGTCGGTTATGTGCTGTTAGATTAGAAAGTTCCATCAAAGTGAGAAGAAATCGGCGTGAGAAACGATGTCTTTTCGTCATCTCCGCCTATGCCCCGACAGATTGCAGCCCGGATGCAATCAAGGATGAGTTTTACCACCAGTTATCTGTTCTTCTCCAGAAAGTGCGTTCGACAGATATTGTAGTACTAGCCGGAGACTTGAATGCTCAGGTCGGGCGTCTAGGCACAGAAGAGAGTCGTTTAGGTGGCCGATGGGGACTCGTTGGTCGCAGGTCAGATAACGGGGACCGTCTACTGCAACTTTGCACAGACCACAACCTGTTTCTGGCTAGCACTAACTTTCGGCACAGTCATCGCCGATGTGCCACCTGGCGTCCTCCCTCTGCATCTCAAGCCTGGACTCAGATTGATCACATCGCGATCAGCTACCGCTGGCGTGGTTGTGTACAAGACTGCCGCTCCTTTTGGAGTACCTATCTGGACTCTGACCATGCCTTGGTCTGCGCCAATCTTGCCTTACTTTTCAGTGGACAACGAAGTGACCGCCAAACGGATTGATGTTAGCAAGCTGGTTGCAACTTCTGTTGCAAGTAAGTATCGAACCGAGCTAGCCTCTAGGCTAGCTACCACTCCACCGAAAAGTATAGATGAGCATTGGTTGCAATTGCATGACGCCATGAAAATGGCGGGAACAGTCAGTTGTGGGTTTGCGAAACGTCCCGCTTTTAAGCACTGGGTTTCTTCTGGTTCCTTACAACTCATTGAAGCCCGTCGGTCTACTCCGGGTGACCGTGAGTTTGACCATAAACGAAGGATGTTACGTAAGGAAATTGGGCAAAGCTTGCGTAAGGACCGAGAAGCCTGGTGGTCGATGCGTGCTAATGAGCTGGAAGCAGCAGCTGCATCTGGTAACTACCGGAAGCTCTTCCAGCTCATCCGAGCCACTGGCAGCAAGAAGTCTGGTGTGAGTGAAACAATCTGCGAGGATGATGGGATGCCAATCACTAACATCCATCGACGTCTTGGACGATGGGCAGAATTTTTCGAAGGGCAGTTCAACTGGCCTGCTGCTCCGGCAACATCGGTCAGACTGTCCTGCCCTCCATGGCCGGTGACGACTGATCCACCAAACGAGGAGGAAGTCCGCAAGGAACTCCAACTCTTGAAGCGTTACAAATCACCTGGCCCAGATGACTTACCTCCGGCTCTTTTTAAAGATGGTGGTGACTTTTTGACTAAGGAATTGACGACGTTGTTTACAAAGGTTTGGGAACTAGAGAGTGTACCAACGTCATGGAATGAGTCGATAGTTGTCCCTATCTTTAAAAAGGGTTCACGTCGTTCCTGTAACAACTATCGGGGGATAAGTCTACTTCCGATTGCGTCCAAGCTATTGGCTTCCGTCATACTTCGTAGGTTGTTCAAAACCCGAGAAAGATTGACTCGCGAGGAGCAGGCTGGGTTTCGTTCTGGTCGAGGATGTATTGATCATATCTTCACCCTCCGCCAAATGTTAGAACACCGCCATACTTATCAAAGGCCAACAATCGTAGTGTTTCTTGACATCAGGGCTGCCTTCGATTCGTTGGACAGGACTGTTCTCTGGGATTGTCTATTGAAGAAGGGTGTGCCTGAGAAGTTTATTAACATCCTAAAAGCCCTATATAAAAACACCTCAGGCAGAGTGAGGGCATACAACCACCTCTCTCCATTGTTCCATTCGAGCAGTGGGGTTAGGCAGGGTTGCCCAATCTCACCATTCCTCTTCAACTTTGCCATCGATGACATTCTGGAAACAGCTCTGATGAATGTAAGTAATGGTGGTGTGGATCTGTTGCCTGGAGAAAGACTTCTCGACCTTGAGTATGCGGACGATATTGTCTTACTGTGCGATAATGC